CAGAATTCAGTGATACGGGTAAAGAGCAGTGTTAATGGAATGGCCAGTGGTGGGGGTGGGGAGGCGGGGGGCGGCACTACCAGAGAAAATAAGAAGCAGAATGAGAATAAATTTCATGTTTTTGTTTATCAGCACAATATTGCTCTCTTTTGAGTAGTTGGTTTTGGATTATGAGTAAGTGAAGACAGTGGTGTGTGTTTAAGTTTTTGAAGAATTAGATTAAGAGGGGAGAGAGAGTGAGTCTAGGAGGAGATGAGATTGTTAAGTGTTTGTTTTTAAAATGATAAAGAATTAGGTCTGAGTGTGAATGGAAGTGAACTGAGCGAAGAGAGGCTGAAAAAGCTGGGGGAGATAGGCAATATAATAAATTTAGTAAGATACTGAAAAATACTTGGAGGCGAACCAGAGGACAGGTGGAAAGAATTAGGTTTGAAAGAAAGAGATTCTTCTTTCATTTAATAGGTGAGAAGGAGATATAGGTGGGTCTTGATGGAGATGTAGGTGGGTCTGGATGCGACAAAGTTAAACAAAGTTGAAAATAAGTTCCTCTATCTTTTGTTTTTAATAAGGTAGAAAGTGGTCACCTGCAGAAAGTATGAGAGGATGCTGGGAATCAGATTTAGAGTAGAATGAAGATTTAAGATATTCTTTTGGAGGATGGAGAATAGGGCTAACCAGGGGGAACAGAAGATTTAGTGTATCCTTTTCTCCACTAGCATTTAGAAAACTGGGTATAAATGTAGATAGGCAGTCTCTTAGGTAAAAGTTGAGATTTGTTAGCTAAGCAAGGTTAGGACAATGAGACACTACAGAGTGGTTGGAGTAAATTTTAGAGGTTGAGTACTGACAGAAACAGATGGTGTTAGTCCAAATACAGAATTCTGTGTGTCAGAAGCAGCCAAAAGACAAGGAAGTGTTTGATATTAGAAAGAACGTGATAAGAGCAGTGACAGTGTTGTCTAAGCAAAATAGAGCTGATAGTGAAGATGAAAATGAAAGAAACTCTAGGGATCAAGTCTTACGGAGGTTCAAGAGCAAGTGTAGTGAACAGAGCAAGTGTAGTGAACAGTTACTAAGAGCTGGTAGGAACAGGAGATTGGTCACTTATAATTTTAAACATAGAGTGGTTTGTAGATGATAGAATTCAGCCTGTGTTCTATGAGTATAGATTGGATTGTAAGTAAAGATCACTGTTTTGTTCAAGGTAAGGAACAATGCCAGAATTTCAGACAGGTCAGTGAACCTGGTTCCAAAGTCTTGGGCTGTTATTTTCTTTGAAGTGATACTGTTGGGCCAAATCCCCGTGCCTTCCCCCACTACCTTAAAAATGTTGAAGCATCTTAGCATGTTGTCCTCAAAAAATTTGATCATTTGATACTTTAATTCTTATTCTGAGAATGTATTTCTTCACTTTCAATGCCAAGAATTATTCAAACCAGTCTTTCCAGTGTGGTAGTCTATTGGATTAATAACATGAGGCATCATTTATGTGTTTGGTTACTAATGAAGTTGAGCTTTTCTGTGCTGTGACTGTAATTGTGAATTGCCTGCCCTGTCATTTGTCCAGTTTTTTTTATTAGTGCACGAATAGTTTTGTGCCTTGTTTCTCTTTTTTTTTTTTTTTCTTTCTTGAGACAGTCTTGTTCTGTTACCCGGGCTGGAGTGCAGCGGCGTGATCTTTACTCACTGCAGCCTCAGCCTCCCGAGTAGCTGGGGTTACAGGCATGCGCCACCATGCCCAGTTAATTTTTGTATTTTTAGTGGAGACAGGGTTTCGCTATGTTGGCCAGGCTGGTCTTGCGCTCCTGGCCTCAAATGATCCACCCACTTCAGCCTTCCAGAGTGTTGGGATTACAGGCGTGAGCCATTGCACCCAGCTGCCTTTTCTCTTTTTTAATTGCTTTTTTTTTTTTTTGAGATGGAGTCTTGCTCTGTCGCCAGGCTGGAGTGCAGTGGCACAATTTCGTCTCACAGCAACCTCCGGCTCCCTGGTTCAATTGATACCCCTTTCTCAGCCTCCCGAGTGGCTGGGACTACAAGTGCGCGCCACCACGCCTGGCTGATTTTTGTATTTTAGTACAGACGGGTTTTCACCGTGTTGGCCAGGATGATTTCGATTTCTTAACCTTGTGATCTGCCCATCTCGGCCTCCCAAAGTTCTGGGATTACAGGCATGAGCCACTGCGCCAGGCCTCTTAATTTCTTTTATTATTATTTATTTTTATTTGTCCTTTTTTCTGTTTGAGTTGCATGTTTAGCCTGTTAATTTTTCTTCTTTGTTGAATAAACATTTTTAGTGTTTAGTCTACAATTACTTCTTTAGCCAAATCATATAGGTGTTTTGTATGCAGCCCCCATTGCTATGTTCTTAATATTCTGTGTTTGTTTTGTTTTGTATTTGAGACTGAGTCTTGCTCCTGTCGTCCAGGCTGGAGTGCAGTGGTATGATCTTGGCTCACTGCATCCTCTGCCTCCTGAGATTCAAGCAATTCTCCTGCCTCAGACATCCAAGTAGCTGGGATTACAGGTGGCAGCCACCATGCCTGGCTAATTTTTGTGTTTTTAGTAGACATGGGGTTTCACAGTGTTGGCCAGGCTGGTCTCGAATCCAACCTTAGGTGATCCGTCTGCCTTGGCTTCCCAAAGTATGGGATTACAGGCGTGAGCCACTGTGTGCAACCTTAATATTTTTTAATCAATTTTGATTTCTTTGAAGCAAAAGTTATTTAGTAGTAAATTACTAAAGGGCCTTTCTGTTTTGGTCCAGCTTTTCTTAATTTATGGTGCTGTTTTGTTTTTTTTTTTTCCTTTTGTCCTCTCCTCCCTCATTTTTGATATATAAAGCTAGAGAGTCCTGTTATTTAGGCTTTTTGAAATATGAAATATTTAAGTCTTACTTCATTGAAACCTGTCAAGAATGAGATATTCCTGCATGTTTATTTTCTTTTATTTGTTCCTTCATATGTGTCTTTTTTTCTTTACATATGTCTATGCTCTGTTCATTTATTCATTGAGCACAGGATAATGGAGCACCCACTCCATGCCAAGCCACTATGTTATTCTGAGAACTGGGTTCATGCATAGAACTACACTTGATCTGTAATTTATTGTAGTTTTCCTAAATAATCACACTTGCAAATATTGTATCTTGTCTTTATATATAAACAAAATTTGAAAAGAAATTTACCATTCACCACTGAGTGCTCCACCCATGCTCTGCCATCAGTTAGCTGACTTGGGAAGTCTTTTAGCATGTAGGATAGCAGTCCTCAAATGACTTGGTTTCAAAACTTGTTTACATTTAAATAAGTTATTTAGGGCTGGGATTACAGGCATGTACCACTATGTTCGGCTAATTTTTATTTTTTATTTTTTATTTTTTGCATTTTAGTAGAGACAGGGTTTCATCATGTTGGCCAGGCTGATCTCAAACTCCTGGCCTCAGGTGATCCTCCCACCTCAGCCTCCCAAAGTGCTGGGATTACAGGCATGAGCCACTGTGCCTGACCCAATGTACTTACATTTATTAATGTTTACCATATTAGAAATTAAAACAAATTTTATTAATGTTCGTTTAAATGCAGATATAATAAATTTTTTTGCAAAAAAATAACTGTGCCAAAATAACAGTAACAACAAAGCACTGAGAAGACTGACACTGTTTTACTTTTTTTGCAAATCTGATGTTTGGCTTTAAAAAAATTTTACTTGTGTTTCACCTTTGAAATGAGGAACAGTGGAAAATAGTGAATTGGGGTTTTTGTGATGGATTTCTACTTTGGGGAACATCAGAATAGCAATAATGCTACTGATCCATTTCAGGAAGATCAGTACAGCAAGAATGGTTTATATGGTATTTGCAAAATACTTTTTGGAGTCATAAGGGATGGTAACCTCTTTATTTCCGTCTCCTCGTCTATAAAATTGAGTGGGTGACATTTCCTTTTGTCCCAGAGTTTTGAGGATTGTGTGAAATTGTATGTTAACATTTGAAGCTAAATAAGCTTTTTTTATCTTTGAAGTACACACCGTCACTTTTTAATTGTAGAAGAGAAACTTGTATTTGTATCCCTTTCTGTCTAAAACTCAGAGAACTGTCAACTTAGATAATTTTCAAGAAGTATTCTGGGAAATTGAAGGAATTTGAATTTTTCTCCTTGGTTCTTATGTCTTTAAAGTAATGAAAGTAGTTCTATAAAGGCAAATGAGAAAGCCATCTCTGCCTTTTTTTACTCCTTTGCCTCCCTATTTAACAGGTTAAGAAGTCCATTGACTCGTTTTTCTAAATACTGTATAATGAGCCTAATTGTCACACAATTTTAGGAAATGAAGAGACTCTAAAGGTCATGGATTCCAGCTCCTCTTATAGATGAAACTGATTCTGAGAGAAGCTAAGCTGCTTGTTTAAGAGCATTGAAGTTGTCTGGTGGTTTTCAGCCTGGGCTGAACTTTGAAACCACCTTTAAGCTTTTTAAAAATACTGATGTCAAGGTCCCACCCTCAGAGATTATGTTTTAATTGGTGTTTGTAAAGCACCCATGGTGATTGTAATGAAGCATAAAACTTAACATGAATTATTTGCCTTTTAGCATTCACAATTTAACCTTTAACATTGAAGTATTCTTCTTGTTGATGAGACTATTTTATTTCTGAGACTTTTTAGGTGATCGAGCTTTACTTTCTTGCTCCGTGGGAAATAAATCCATAAACATTATATAAATCAAAACTTTGATGTTGAAAACTTTATTTTAAATTATCAAGTCAACTAGTAAATTTTTAAAAATCTGTGTGTATCAGATGGTATTAAAGTTTATGCCTATCATAACTAATAATATGAGTTAATATTGAATCTTTTTTGATACAAATTGGAAAAACAATCTGAGGTTTTAGAAGCATTAATAATTATGTATATAATTTTTGTCTTCCATTATTTATTCAGATTCTGGATTGTCATTTTTTGTTTAGACTTTTTCCAAAACAGATCTTTATTTTTCCTATAGGTGAAAGCACTGAAAGAGAAGATTGAATCTGAAAAGGGGAAAGATGCCTTTCCGGTAGCAGGTCAAAAATTAATTTATGCAGGTATGAATTAAATATTAAAATTAACATGCCATGTCTTGATATTCTTTTAGTTTTAGAAATGTTATCTTACATATTGTAGTATATTCAAATTGTCAGAAAAATGATTGTACAAATAAAAGCAGTGAAAGAGCAGTCGTTTGAATCTAATGTTGATATTCAATCTTCTCTTTATTCACATTTGCCCTATGTATTTTTCCATCAAACGGTATTTTGTTTCATCTTTTGTAAGCATCACGTAACTGGCTTTTGTGTTTTTAATGAAACTGAGCTTTTTTAAAAAATTTAATTGAAACCATTTATACTGATTGTGTTATTATTACTCTGTTTGGAATCATTCCTGTAAAATTAAGTTTTAACCAAAACCGACTGAAAAATACCAAAAAAACACATCACACAGAAAGACATCGACAGGAAGAAAAGGGGATTATGTAAAGAATTCTTAGAAATCAATAAGGAAAGGATGACCAATAAAGCAACAAAGGATAAGAGTAGGAATTATAGATTTAACTAGCCTCACTGATAACCAGGAAGATGTATATTAAAAATACACTTGATATCCAAATTTAGTAGAGAAAATGCTTTCGTTGTAGATGTTAGTAAGGTGGGTGTTTGATTGCCCATGGATTCTTCTATTTTTCTGAATAGTGTTTCCTAAAGTGAGACAGCCTGGCGGAAATGCTAACACGGTGATTCAGTCCTATTATTTTTATAGATCTGAGTTCAGAAGCCTAAAGAAGCAGACATAAAATTCCAATTTCCAGTTTCTTGTTTTGGCCTGTTTTCTCATTCCTATCCATATTCCTTTCTGTCTTAATGTTAGCAGCTTTTGATTCAATAGCTTTTTAAAGGTGGAAAACTAAATTCATGGAGCAGGAAACATCAGGGAGTCCTACTTACCTAATATGTGACCTTCAGCGTGACCACAGTCTTTTGTACTTCTTTGTGCATTTCTGAGTTCTGTAGCATCTTGCCCTTTCTTGTGTATCATGTCGTTTTCTGAAGTACTTTTAGTATCTTGCTTTGATAGTGTTAGAACATTTCTGATTTATCAGATAATCGGTATTTTGGGGAGCAGGAAATTTGTTTCTCTCCCCTTCTTCGTATCAGAAAAGAATATAGGTTATTTTCCAGAGGACCCCTGTGCAATCAGAGTATTGGATTTTCTTTATCTTCATGGTCTCCTCCTTTTCAGGGTCTCTTTCGTATTTTCTTGCCCAGTAAGTCCTTTATATAATGAAGTAATACATTTGTAAAAATTGTCATTCTATATACACTATATAAGTTTGACATCTTTCAGTTAAATGCGTATGCCTTTTAATTTTGTTTATTTTGAGAGAGAGTCTTGCTCTGTCACCCAGGCTGGAGTGCAGTGGTGTGATTATAGCTTGCTGTATCCTTGAACTCCTGGGCTCAAGTGATCCCCCTGCCTCAGCCTCCCAAGTAGCTAGGACCATAGGCATGTGCCACAGTGCCTGGCTAATTTTGAATTATTTTTTTTTATAAACAGGGTTTTGCTATGTTGCCCAGGCTGGTCTCAAACTCCTGGCCTCAAGCTGTATTCCCTCCTCAGCCTTCCAAAGGGTTGGGATTACAGGCGTGAGCCACCATACCCTGCCACTTAGGAATTGTTTTATTTTTATCTCGATTGATTGGTTTTTTCTTTGGGAAAAGTACTGACGGATAGAATTTATGTTGGTGATTCATATTTTAATATTTCTGAAATAATCATATTTCAAGTAGAAAGTTGTTTTAACTTATGTGTAAGAGAAAGATTATGCCTTAAATGATTTTTTTTTTCTCTTAATGTATTAGGCAAAATCCTCAATGATGATACTGCTCTCAAAGAATACAAAATTGATGAGAAAAACTTTGTGGTGGTTATGGTGACCAAAGTAAGTTTCAACTTCATTCTGTATATGTTTATGCATGTAAGTCTTTTTAAAAATGATGACCCCAAGTCCACACAACGGACACAGTTTATACACATCCATAGTGGTGTGCACTTTACTATGAAGCTTTTTAAGAATTTACCTTAAGTGAAACATAAAGTTATTAATGGTTTACATTATTATACATTAAACTATAATTTAATATAGTTTTAATAAAATTTTATGTAAATTGAAACAATTGAAACACCGATAGGAAGAAAAAATTAATATTCAGATTATGTAAAGAATTCTTAGAAATCAGTAAGGAAAGGATGACCAATAAAGCAAAAAGGATAAGAGTAGGAATTATAGATTTAACTAGCCTCACTAACCAGGAAAATGTATACTAAAAATACACTTGATATCCAAATTTAAAATGTTAAAATTATTTTTGCTAGAGTAGTGAAATCATTTATTATATAATTCTTTTTAAATGTCTTTATAAATGGAATAAATGTTTATTCTGTAGTTTTCATAAGTTTGTCTTAAATAGACTTGCTAAATTATGTACTCGTCCTAACAAATTCCTCGAGGCAGAAAAGGCATGAAAGCTTATTATTACAGTGATACTTCTTAGTGAAAGAATATGTTTTTAGAAACTAAAAAAGGGAAAAGGCAACTAAAGAAATGATGGAATGATTTTTGTGAGGAAGTTTTAAACATACTTTCTTGTGGTTTAGTAGGCTGGAATGTGTTTGGAACAATTTATGAAAGTAAATTTAAAGCAGAGAATGAACATGGATTTTTTTTAAGATACTATATACTTGTTTATTTAAAGATAATAATGCAGTGTAGAATTAAGAGACAAATGGAGAAGTGGTACTCATGACATTCATTTTTAGGACTGGATTGTCATAATCTGAGAAAGAACAGTGTTACTTGTAGCAATGAAAATAAGTTTAAATCACTAATTGAAACCACTTCATCAAAGGCCAAAAGTGGAATAAATGTGGGTTTTTTCTCAAAGTCACAAAATAATTAGTAGTAATAGAAAATAGAGTTGAAATAAATTTTAATTACCACATCCTTTTATACCGGGAAACAAGCAGCTAAATAATTTACATGTGTTGAACTTGAACATTTTTTAATTTGTTAAGAACCATATTGATTTTGCTATACTTAAGAACTTAACTCACTATATGTTAAGCTTTAAAAACAGAGAAGCAGAATCGTAAGGAAACCTTGTATCATCTAGGTTTTTTATTCAACTATGGTAAAATATAATAACAAACTTCCAGTTTAATCATTTTAAGTGTATAGTTCAATAACATTATAGTTACATTGTTTTGCTGCTATCACCATCATATGAGTGGAATCCTATGGTATTTGTCTTTTTGTGACTGGCTTATTTCACTTAGCATAATGTTATCAAGGTTCATCTATCTATGTTATAGCATGTGCCATAATTTGCTGAATACTATTGTATTTTCCCATCTAGTTTTAGCATACATAGTACATAATGGAAAATGTGATAGCCACACATTTTTAAATATGTTTTCTTACTGGTCTTAGTTTCTTTTAATATTACAGTAATCCTGACTATTTAGAACACAAGAATTAAGCAGAAAAAGTCTCAAAGGGTGCGTGTATTTGAGGAATAGATACTTGAAGACTGTTACTATATTACATACAATTCTTTTGTTTTTCCTTCAAGTCTTTTATTCCTAATATTACATAGGATTCTAATGATATTTATGACTGTTTTATTTTGAAGTTAATAGTAGAGGACAACTATAAGAAGGAAGGGAATGCTGCTACAGTAAGGCATTTATGGAAGCACTGAGAAATGACCTTATTAATACAAAGAAGGGAAAGGAAAAAGCTATTAAGATCAAAAGCAAGAACAAAAACTAAAAAGCAGAGAGGGCCTTGGTACTGTTTAGAATAAAGAATAAATAGCTGTTCTTGGCAGTAGGAACCTTGAAGATAAGTCATTTTGCAATATTATTTTGATAACAGATAATTGAGAATATTAAATGAGTATACCACATTTAAAAGTACATTTTTATCTAGATTGGTTATTACAAAGTTTTGGTGCTTAAAACTCTGAATTTTCACGTTTATGAAGCTCCAGTCTATCCAGAATAACTGACGATCCAGAATGACCTGAGGATTTCAGCTCATTGAAGTTTTAGAACGTTAATAATCTGCAGAATATTATATTGGCTGTTAAGAAAATTAAGCTAAATAGGAAAAGGGAGTAATGCTAGTATTTTTTAAAAGCCTATCACCTTTCACTAACCTTTTTTTTCCTAATGTCTTCTTTATTAAATCAAAAAGACACAAGGCAGCTCAACTTACTGGTTTTAGAGTTTGTTTATGCTTGTGGCAGATTTTGTTGAATTTAAGTCCTGTCTTCCACCAAAATATCTACCTTTGGTCCTTGGGAAAGTTATGAACTAAACAGGTAGCATTGACAGGCCTTAGGAGAAAGCTAAAACTCACGTAGTATGATTTTTACACATGTACAGTTGACCCTTGAACACCACTGAGCTTAGAAGTGCCAGCCTCTCCCCTACAGTCAGAAATCTGCATATACCTTTTGACTCGCCCAAAACTTACCTACTAATAGCCTACTCTTGACCAGAAGCCTTACTGATAAACAGTGGATTAATACATGTTTTGTATGTTACATGTATAATATACTGTATTAAAGTAAGCTAGAGAAACTATTACTAAGAAAATCATGGCCAGGTATGGCGGCTGATGCCTGTAATCCCAGCACCTTGGGAGACCGAGGTGAGCGAATTGCTTGAGCTCAGGAGTTGGAGATCAGTCTGGGTAACATGGTGAAACCTTGTCTCTACAAAAAAAAAAAAACAAAAAACAAAAAACAAACATTTAGTAAGTTCCTATTACGTGCCAAGCACTGACACTGAATACAAGAGACAAAATTCCACACCCTTGTGGAGATGATGAACATAAATGGAGACAAATAATGCTACAAGGAGCTGTTATCACACCACTGCACTCTAGTCTGGGCTCCAGATTCTTGTGGGAAGTTGACAGCAGAGACACCTCAACTAAGTGGCTACTTAGGCAGTTAGGATTATTGAGCAGTTTAAGACAAGATTTTTTTTTTTTTCTCCCCCAGATGATCGGTAAATTGACCAAATGCTTAAGTCAGAGAGGTCTCTTGGTTGGAAATCATTCAGCACAATTCCTTGATCTGGAGGAGGTAGAAGGAGAGACAGGCACACTCAGTGTAACTTATATTGAAAAAAATCATCATATAAGTGGACCCAGTGCAGTTCAAACCCTTGTTGTTCAAGGGTCAACTAATTGTTTTTTTGCTCTGTGGAAAGCTTTATGGCTCTACTTCCAGTTCAGAAAGTGCTGAGCATGTGGAGGTAACTTAATTTGGCCTTCATTTTTCTGCTTATCTACATATGCATCTCAAAGTATTGTGAACCTTTTTGTACTTGGACCTGTTGATTTGTAGTCAGTTTTGAGATTTTCCTCCCTCTTCTAAAATACAGTACGACAGAATATTTGACATGTTTATAAATAAACATTTATACTGCCATTTCAAGAACATTATTTTGGGCTGGGTGTAGTAGTTTATGCCTGTAATCCTAGTGCTTTGGGAGGCCGTGGTGGGAGGATTGCTTGAGGCCAGGAGTTCAAGACCAGCCTGGGCAATGTAGCAAGACCCTGTCTTTAAAGAAAATTATTTTGGTAATGCTTTTAAGTGGTAATTTAAAGTTACAACTCAGGTACATAGTTTTTTTGGGAAAATGATACGGTTTTCTTTTTTGTTATATATATATATATACACACACACACACACACACTGTCTATATTTCAAATTTTTGACTTTTTATATTAACTTGATACGAAGACTGAAATTGTTGGGTAAAATTAATTGTGGTTGATAATTAAGATTAACATATGCTCTCATGAGCTTTGAAAGAGTAACCATGAGTCAGACTGCTAATATTGATCATTTATTGAGTCATTTTACAAAATTATTTTCAAGTTACAGGTTGTTATTAGTGCTATGTTTGTGGCATCCTGTAACGGTATAGTGTAATTAGAGATCAGTCAATATGTAGTATTTTATCGTAATTTATTTTGCCTTCAATGTGTTTAGCCCAAAGCAGTGTCCACACCAGCACCAGCTACAACTCAGCAGTCAGCTCCTGCGAGCACTACAGCCGTTACTTCCTCTACCGCAACAACTGTGGCTCAGGCTCCAACCCCTGTCCCTGCTTTGGCTCCCACTTCCACACCTGCATCCATCACTCCAGCATCAGCGACAGCATCTTCTGAACCTGCACCTGCTAGTGCAACTAAACAAGAGAAACCTGCAGAAAAGCCAGCAGAGACACCAGTGGCTACTAGCCCAACAGCAACTGACAGGTAGGAACTGGATTCTAGGAAATTCTATCTCAAAATCCGTGTTTAACAGGAGCTTCATGCATTTATTTTGATTATTGTTTTGATTAAACTGACTGTATCTACTATGTTAAGCCGTTTTTAAACGTTTGACTAAAACATATGCTATGTCTATTTTGATAGTTTGCTAAGGAGAATATAAGTACAAATTTTCATAATCAGATTTCTGTACTCTGTTGATTTGGGCAGGGTGGGGTGCAGTGGGAAGGAGAGAGCAGGTGAAAATCATTTTTTAGTAGAAACGTTAGGAAATACAAATAACCAAAATGAGTCAAGGATTATAACATGACATTGCCACCCTAATCATCATTTGTACTTGATCTGTATTCTTTGTGGTCATTGTCATATATATCATAAGCATCCTTCCATGTTAGTAAATCTTTCCAGTAGTTTATACATTGTGTTTGGTTCTGACATTTGTTAACTCTTGTAACCTGAACCTATGGATTATTTCAATTTTTCACTGTTGTATCTGTATCTTTGTGAACTTGTGTGGAAATTCAAGCTTCTGCCTGTGTAGATCTTTAGGGGAAAAGGGGAAAAGAGTGTTGGGATATTTGAGGAGCAAGAAATAATTTCTTGTGGGAAGTTGACAGCAGAGACACCTCAACTAAGTGGCTACTTAGGCAGTTAGGATTATTGAGCAGTTTAAGACAAGATTTTTTTTTTTTTTCCTCCCCAGATGATCAGGTAAATTGACCAAATGCTTAAGTCAGAGAGGTCTCTTGGTTGGAAATCATTCAGCACAATTCCTTGATCTAAGAGCATGAGTTATATTATGACCAGCCTTCGCTGGCACTACAGCTGTTTGTGCTTTGTGACTTAGAGCAACTCAGGACCTCAGAGGTAGTAGTTATATGATCCTTGCAGTCAGAATCAGACACAGTGGAAAACTGCAGTGACTGGAAGGGTTAACAGACATGGAAAGGGGTTAAGATATATATGACAATGATCAGAAAGATATAGTTGTGATCCTTCATTTTAGTGTTCTGCCTTTGAGTGTGGTTTCTGTATCTGACTTAGTCAACCGTGTTTGGAGGAGTCTGAGCCACCGGATTCATTGCTTACTCAGGGGTCTCTTTCTAAAGAATTGATTCCCTAAGAAGATAACATGGGTTTAGGCAATAAAATATTTGCGCTGTTACTTGCCTAGAACACTGCTTTAAGTATTCTGTGACACCATTGCCTAACTTGATCCATCTTTCCCATGTACAACTAGAAATGCATTCAACCATCTTATCCTAGTGGATACCACGTACAGTCAGGTTAAGCTGTTACATCACAGAGCTGTTGATCAGGTCTGTGTGTGAGAGGGAACTTAGAAATTTTAAAAATTGGTTCACCAAAGCACTTAAATATTGCAAACTTAATACGTCTTAAGTCAGTCGGCACAGTACATCTTATTTATTCTCTTAATTGCTTTAAGCTCCTTTAAAAAAAAACTTAGTGTGAGAATTTTAAAGTTGATCAATACATTTTAATGTACTAATGCCATAGATTTAAATTTGTTTCTTAACTCTTTTTTTTTTTTTTTTTTTTTGAGACAGAGTCTCGCTCTGTCACCCAGGCTAGAGTGCAGTGGCATGATCGTGGCTCACTGCAGTCTCCACCTCCCGGGTTCAAGCGATTCTCCTGTCTCAGCCTCCTGAGTAGCTGGGATTACAGGTGTGAGCCACCACGCCCAGCCCATTAACTCTACCTTTATTTTCTTCCCGGAGTTGCAGTTTTACTTAACGTTATTCTAAAAAGAGCCAGGATTATCTTTTCAGACCTACAAAAGTTGCATAAGTAACTTGATGGTCAGTGATCCCGGAAAGCAGACACTAGAGTTTCTTAGTTGGACTTCGTATACCAACTGCTTATTCTTATTTCTGAAAATGTTACCTCAGAGAAATATAGAAAGAGAGGAATGAGAGAAACTCAGAAAACAAGCTGCTTAAATGTGTCTTAGTTCCTTTATCTTTGCTGGAAAGTATCTACTGTCCTGTGAAACACAAAACCTAGTGAATAATTATCAGGAGATAAGCTGATAAGAGTTTGGAGTGTCGGGAAGCCTGTTTGTTATTAGGGGTTTGTTTCTTTAGGTCAATTTTGTTCTTTTAAAAATTGTCTATTACAGTGCAAATTCCACTTGATATCTACCTGAGAGGAACTGCATTTGTGCCCATGACTGTATTGTTTGTAATTAAAGGACAAATTGGAATCCTAAATTGACCTGTGGTTTATTCATAGTAGAGAACAGGACTACTCAAAGTGTAGTTGTCAATAGGCCGCATCAGCATCACTGGGAGTGTGTTTGACGTGAATTCTTGGGCCACCCTGGACCTGTAAATCAGAATTATCTGGGAGTGGATCCCAGAAATCAGCAAGCCCTCCTGGTGAATACTTGGGATTCTTGAAATTTGTAAAATTTGAGAAACTCTGCTAACTGATACTGCAAGACAGTTAAAGTATGTACTATATAAGCATGTTAAATAAGTGTGGTTTTGAGGCTTTGTTATTGAGTGAAAAAAGCAGGTTGCAAAAGAGTATAGGTGATAACCATAAACCAGACAAAACCCATAAACAACATCGTACATTTTCTGTGGGTATGCATGTTAATGTGTAGAAGAGAAGTAGGCAAGCGTTGACATATAACTGATGAGTGGTTTCCTCTGTGGTTGGAGAGGGGAGAAGTAGTGAGACAGAATCAAGATTAAAGAATAGTGGTTAAAGTATAAGTACACCCAGTCTTATCTGTGGTGTTTAAAGAGAACTTTTTAAAGACAATGTGTGATAATAGTGTAAATTATTCTAAGGGAGACGAGTCTTCCCGGATTTTAAAATGTGTTATACAGTAGTGATTAAAACAGTTTGGAATGGCTCATATTACAAAGATTGGTCAGGGAAATCAACAGTAGCTTAGAAATAGACGCAAATAGATAGAGGAACTTAATAGAAAATAAAGATACAATTTCAGAACAATGTGGGGAAAATGCTGTTGATATCTCATCATCTGGAATGAAAAAAGAATGACCCCTCATACTATACACCTGCAAAAATAAATTACAGATAGATACGGATTTAATGCAAAAGAAAAGCCGTAAACTAATGGAGAACAAGGGAACGAAAGAATAATCTTCACTTTGCGAAGTCATTCCTAAGCAAGACAACAACAACAACAAAAAAAGTTGTAACAGGAAAGATTGATAAATTTGACTACAGAAAGAATTTAAATGCAGGAAACCAAAATACGCATTCCTTAATAAGAGCTTAATTTGGTCTTTTAAATGGAATACTGTGCATCTGTGGGAAGAAATTGAAGTAGATTTGATTGTGGCGACATAGAATGATTGTTAAGTTAAAAAACACAAAAGCTTAAAAAACAAAACAACAAACAAAGTAAGACGCAAATTATTATTCTTTTAAATAGAAATTGGTGTCATAGTGGTGGTCTCTGGGTTGGGGTAGGAAAAATTTAGTTTTTATATATTGTGCTTTTTGAAATTTTATTTTCTCTGCATTAGTTTTACAGTATATTTAATGAAGAACTTAAAAATTATACCAAAGGATTATATTAATCATAATATTCATATTGGGTGTTATGATGCCAGGCACTTTGCTAAGCAGTCTACTAGTGTAGCCCTACCCACAACACTCTGGAGTATATGATACTATCATTGACCATTGTACTGATGAAGAAACAGGCTTAGAAAGGTTCAGTAATTTACGAATCCAAACTTGGGTTTTCTGCTCTTACTATATACTACCAAGGGCTTTCTCAGAACTGAAATATAATGGGTGTTTTTTTTAATTGAGACTCAGGTCTAAGTGTTTATGCGCGTCTGCTTTAATTTAAACTTGCAACTACTACCTTTACCACTGTTGTAAACTTAAGTTTATTTTTCTTTGGCCTGCTCTTCATGGTCTTTCATAATTTTCTTTTATTGCAGACTTCTCTGTAGTTTCCCAACAGAAACTTAATCTTTTTACACTGATTTTCATTACATTCAAACTTGGATTTAACCCATATCTACCTTTTTTGCATATGCTATATTTCTTTATTTGAATGTCTTCTTTCAGTGTCCTCGTTCAGAACTTATCTGTAAGATCTCATTATGTAAAGACTATAGCCTAATTTGGTTTCTTCATGTGCTATTTTACTATATACTGCTTTTGATATTTCTTCTGGTGTGACTTGATTTATAAATTATTTAACTTCTCATGTAAATTACTTCAGGTAAATGTGCATTATCTTTTTTGTATTCAATAGACAGATGCTGTCTGTTAGGATATTATTTTATATATTTTGACATTTAAAATGATGGATTCTCAGAATAGGAGGAGTACCAAGATTGAAAATTTTTCCCAAACCACAAATGTTGTAGATAAAGCTTTTGGATTTAATCTAGAAGAGACAGTTTAAATACTTTAGTCAGACTTTTATATTTAATTAAAATCAAAGAATCTGTTTACAAATTGGATAGTTACTAAACTAATGTAAATTAAATTGTATATACTTTTTAAAATGTGATTGTTCTAAAATCCTTTTACAGTACATCGGGAGATTCTTCTCGATCAAACCTTTTTGAAGATGCAACGAGTGCACTTGGTAAGTATCTACTTTTCCTTATAAACAACCTGTAAAGAGATAGGTAAGAGGCTTCACTTTTCTAGATCGTGATAAAAGTGTTAATAATTTGCATGGTTATTTATAATCAAGCTGTAAAATGATTGAATTAAGTAATTCAATTAAGTGTTACTAAAGACTTTTAAATTAATATTTATGTATTGAGTTATTTAAAACTTGCTCTGAGTTGAGCATACTTGGTTAAAGCAAATAAATTTCCATTTTCCAGATGGAAATTTTAAATGTGATCCTAACATGGTTGATCTGTGTTTGTATGGGTTTATTACAAAGGGTCTTTGAAATGGGTATGACATTTTTCTAGATCTGTCTCACACATCATGTGTGTTCACCTTCAGACTTAATTCCAACTTGATGGCACTGTACATTCCCATCTATATCATGTTGCTTGCATTGGCTTGCAGCAAAAATGCTTTTTTATCCCAACTTTGACCTGCTGAATAATGCCTTTCCATCTCCCGTCACTCCAGTCTATCAAAATGAAGCACCTTTTTTTTTCTCCCATTGTAGCATCTCTGATATAGTTCCTGCTAATTACTGGTTTATTGGCTGGCAACTCCATTCCTACTATTTGGTACTCTTAAATGGCAGGGAGGGAGAAAGCGAGGAATAGGTAGAAACAGCAGCTTTGGTGCAGTACAGGCTCTGGATTCCTGCTTAGCTTCTACAGCAGCAGAGTTCCAGCAGCAGTACCACCTCCTAGCATCTGAGTTGGTTCTCTGACCTAGTTGAGCTGGAACTCCGTGATGCGCTCATTGCCATGGAAAATGGCATGTACATGTAGTAGCAAAACAGTAGTTTAAATTATTTAAGATTGCCTGGGTGTGCCAACCCCAGATTTTCATCTTTGAGGAACAGTGTCCTAAAACACTCTGCTGTCAAATACAGTATGAGTTAGTCTCCAGCCAGGAAAACAGAAACCACTCTATTTCAAACAGGGAAAGGCTTAATCTTAGGAAATTGTTAGGAATTGGAAGAGCTGGAGAATAGGATTACCCAGAGATCAGTAAACTGTCTGTGGCCTCGGGGCTGGAGCCAGCTGGCACTTGTGGCTAATGGTGCTGAAGGCTCTGGCTGTGGTCACTGCTGCTGCAGCTGTAATGCATTGATGCTCCTGAGTGGGAGCCTGGGAGGCCATGCTGTAGCTGCTGCTGCTACACTCAAGCCTCTGTGACTATGTCTTACTTCCCATTCTCAGCTTTATGGTGTCGGGATCCCTCTACATTTTCATCTTTAATTTACCCAAGTCTCTATGTTGATTCCTGCTTTTTTATTTTATTCTGATTTATCTTGTTGCTGCACAAATTAACCTTGCTTCTTTAAACTTTCCTTCTTTGGCTTCTGTGACACCACTCTTCCTGATCCATACCTCAGGCTCTTCCTTCTCAAGCTTTTCTTTTCTTTTCTTTTCTTTCTTTCTTTTTTTTTTTTTTTGAGATGTAGTCTCGCGCTCTCGCCCAGATTGGAGTGCAGTGGCGTGATCTTGGCTCACTGCAACCTCCACCTCCCGGGTTCAAGCAATTCTCCTGCCTCAGCCTCCTGTGTAGCTGGGATTACAGGCACGTGCCACCACGCCTGGCTAATTTTGTGTATTTTTAGTAGTGATGGGGTTTCACTGTGTTAGTCAGGATGGTCTCAATCTCCTGGCCTTGTAATCTGCCCGCCTCGGCCTCCCGAAGTACTGGGATTACAGGCGTGAGCCACAACGACCGGCCAGTTAATTCATTTTAGTTTACCTGACTATTAAATGTATGAGTTTTCTATAGTTCCATTCTAGGTCATAGTTCAGACTATGGGAATGACCAATACCATCCATATACCATGTAGATTCCCCAAATTATAGCTGCAGTACAGATCTCCCTCTGAACTCCCAAACTCGTATCTTGACATTGTCAACTAGAAAACTTAGAACCTCCATGACTTTAGGTTTCAAACTGACTCATTTTTTATTCCCCAGTCTGAGTCTTTCCTTTTGTTCCCTTCTTACTTGTACCATCAGTCATTCATCCACCCTCTGCCTCTTTTGGCCCAGTAAGTCTGTTTCTTTTCCTTTCTCTCCTCTCCCCTCTGACCTCTCTTCTTCCTTCCTCCTTCCCCCTTCCACTTCCTCCCATCATTCCACAGTTACTAATGACTCCCTCTCTTAAAGTCTCTGGAATATTTGTTTTCCCTGTCATTTAGTTGCCTTAGTTCGGGTCCTTATTTCACTTATACTCTTGCATTATCCTTATCCACCTGGTCTACCTCTTCCTTACCAGAGTGTATTTTCTAAAAAGCAACTCTGATGGGGTCTTTGTTAATTCCTTTAATAGTTCCTCATGACCTAGAAAGTAAGTCCAGAGCTTATTCTTTTTAATTTTTAAAATTTGTATATATTTAGAGAGTACAAGTGCAGATTTCTTACATGCATATATTACGTGGTGGTGAAGTTTGGGCTTTTAGTGTAGCCATCACCTGAATAATGAACATTTATTGTACCAAAAAGGAAATTTTTGAACCCACACTCCACTCCCTACCTTTTGTCGTTTCCAGTGTGTATTATTCCATTCTATATGATGTGTGCCTATGGTTCAGCTCCAACTTGTGAGGACATGTGGTATTTGACTGTTTCTGAGTTATTTCATTTAGGATAGTGGCCTCCATAGTTCTATCCATGTTGCTGTAAAAAAGACATGATTTTATTATTTTTGATGGGTGAGTACTTTTACACACACACACCACATTTTCTTTATCTCATCCTCCATTTAATGATTCCATATCTTTACTATTGTGAATAATGCCATGATTAACATACAAGTGCAGGTATCTTTTTGATATAATGATTTATTTCCCTTTGGGTATATACATAGTAGTGGAATTTCTGGATTAAATGATAGTGCTGTTTTTAAGTTTTTTGAGAAATTTCCGTGCTGTTTTCTATCAAGGATATACTAATTGACATTCTCGCCGGCAGTATGTAAGCATTCTATTTGCTTCGCATCCTTGCCTGACATCTGGTGTGACATGGGACATCTCATTGTGGTTTTAATTTGCATTTCTCTGATGATTAGTGATGTTGAGCATTTTTTCATGTTTGTTGGCCACTTGTATGTCTTCTTTTGAAAAATGTCAAGTCATGGTTTTTGCCCACTTTTTAATGGGGTTATTTGGTTTTTTCTTGATGTTGAAGTTCTAGATAATAACACTTTGTTAGATTTCCTATGCCAGTGTCCAGAAGAGTTTTTCTAGGTTTTCTTCTCGGTTTTTTGTAGTTTCAGGTCTTAATATTTAGGCTTTAATCTGTTTTGAGTTAACTTTTGTGTTTGATGAGAAGTCTGGGTCTAGTTTCATTCTTCTAAATGTGGCTATCCAATTTCCCAGCACTGTTTGTTGAATGGGGTGTCCTTTCCCCCGTGCATGTTTTTGTTGACTTTGTTGAAGATCAATTTGGTTGTAGGGTATGCGGCTTTATTTCTGGGTTCTCTATTCTGTTCCATTGATCGATGAGTCTGTTTTTATACCAGTACCATGCTGTTTTGATTACAGTAGCCTGGTAATAGTATTTGAAGTCAGGTAATATGATCAAAGCTTATTCTGAATGGCATATATAAAGTTCTTCATCACCACCTCTTTGGCCTCATTACTCTGTTTCTTGTCCAGTCTCTCTCGTTTTGTTTGTTTATTTGTTTGTTTTTTTGACTCACTCTCTGTCTTTGTCACCCAGGCTGGAGTGCAGTGGCGCAGGCTAAGCTCACTGCAATCCCTGCCTCCTGGGTTCAAGAAATTCTCCTGCCTCAGCCTTCCAAATAGCTGGGATTACAGGCACCTGCCACCATGCCCAGCTAATTTTTGTGTTTTTAGTAGATACGGGGTTTCACCACGTTGGCCACGCTTGTCTTGAACACCTGACCTTAGGTGATTCGCCCACCTCAGCCTCCCAAAGTGCTGGGATTACAGGTGTGAGCCACCATGCCAGCCTCTCTAGTTCTTTTTACAAGTCATTTGCCTTTGGACTTTTAAGATCTAAAAAGTATCACACTGCTGATAGGTATTTTTTGAGATTCTATAATTTAACTAGGAAACATGATTTTAGGAGTCATAGTATAATGATTAGATGTGGAGACCTCGCTATCAGCCTGTGTTTGTTTGTATCTGCACCGTGACTTAATACTTTGACCTTTTTTTTTTTTTTTTTTTTTGGAGACAAAGAGTCTTGCTCTTTCACCAGGCTGGAGTGCAGTGGCATGATCTTGGCTCACTGCAGTCTCTGCCTCCGGGGTTCAAGCAGTTCTCCTGCCTCAGCCTCCTGAGTAGGTGGGACTACAGGCACGTGCCACCGTGCCCAGATAATTTGTTTGTATTTTTAGTAAAGATGGAATTTCACCATGTTGACCAGGATGGTCTTGATCTCCTGATCTCGTGATCTGCCCGCCTCAGCCTCCCAAGTGTAGGGGTTACAGGTGTGAGCCACCACACCTGGCCTTTACCAAATTATTAATCTCTCCAAGCTGTAACCTCCTCATCTTTTAAAGGAGTTGAAATTAAACCTTTCTTATGAAGTAGAGAGGACTAAAAGAAAAACACCATGTTAAAATAGTGCAGTTCTGGTTTTCTGTAGCTCTTAATTTCAGTTGTATTGATACTGATTTCTGTATCTGGGAATTGGGTTACTGAAAGTGTATTGCTACTTGAGTTGCTTTGTGCTCGAATTATATCAGTAGATAAGAAAATGAATAATTAAAAATTATTGTTTTATGGGATGGGAAAAGGAAAGTCATTATTTTAAACAAGATATCAAATGATTAATCTTTTTGTGATATTTAGGGGTTTTTTAGCTATTAAACACCTTTATTTGGAAAGTTCTGCAGAAAAAAATTATTCAACAGATACTCGGTGTCAGCTGTGTATCAGGGAAATATGCAAAATGGCATGGTTTTCTGCACAAACTTGCATTCAGTTGGGGCAAGAAAAAAATAATGAAACTTTAAAAGAAAAAAAGATAAATGATATTAAGAACACAAAGGGCGTCCCTGAAGAAAAAACAGAAGGCTATGTGGGATGGCTAGGCAATACCTTTTAAATATAGAACTGAAGCATGTTGAAGGAACTGGCCATCTAAAGATAGCTGGTGTTGTGTAAAGGCCCTGAGGCAGGAAAAAGTGTGGCCTGCTGAAATAACACCGGGAAGATGAGCGTGGTGGGTGGAGCATTGTTGAGGGCTGGGAGCCAGAAATTAGATGAGGGGTTTTGTGTGTGTGTATGTGTGTGTGTGTGTTGACTTTTGCAACTGGCTGAAGAATAGATTGTAGATATGGAGACAAGAGTTGGAAATGTTGTAATCCCATGTACAGACTGTTGTGGGCTTGTCTTCAGTGTTGACAGTAGAGAATGAAGAGATGGGTTTGGGGTGTAATTTAGAGATAGAACTTAGGAGGTATGCTGGTAAATGAGGTGTGGAAGGAAGAGGAAAAGGAACTGAAATCCCCAGGGTTTCTGTTCAAGCACTTAGGAGGTGAATAGAGGTGTCATTTGTTTAAAGAGAGCAAACAGATAATGGTGGGACACATTTGAGAGGGAAATCTGAATTGCAATTAGTTGAGGAATGAGTGGAATGTGAGAAAATGGACATGTGTTCAATAGCTGTGGCTGTGATGGGAAGAGAGCAGATGGTTCCTCAAAGAGGAATTAAGATGAAGTCAAAGGAGGGAGGTGTGTTTTTGTTTTAGGGTGAAATATAGGACATAGTTAACTACTGACCCAGGATAATTACACAGAGGGGGAAAGATGTTGGTGGAGAAGAGAGGATAACCAAATCCAGTTTGGTAATGGTCCCCAGAACACAAGCGGAAGAGACGATAGTTTTAAGTAAGGTAAGTTTATGAGGAAAATAACTTTCATTTATTCAGAGTGTTTGCTGAGAGGAGGGAGCATAGGAGTCTGTAAGAAGTGACTTGTTGGAATATTAGCGCTTAGGGCATTTTACCAACTTTGTATAGTGTACAAGATTTTAACTTTCTAGCTCCTAACTTCTTTCCCCACTGTTTTAGTTATATAAGGTATCAAAGGGAAACTGAACTTGTTGCATCAGAGTTGATGGTTTGAAATGCCATCCCTTCCCCAGCATGTTTTCAGAATTCAGTGTCTCTTCTTACCAGTTGCCTTCTTTGACCTCCTGATTCTCCCTTACCTTTGTACCTCATTTTTCTGTTATACTCTGAAATGTATTATATGAGTTTCCTGTTGCTACTGTAGTAAGTTAACACAAACTTAATGGTGTAGAACAACACAGATTAACTATCTTCTAGTACTGTAGGTTAGAAGTGAGACACAGGGCTCACTGTACTAAAATTAGGGAGCTGGAGTTCCTTTCTGGAGACTCCAGGGAAGAATTTTTGTCCTGATCCTGTCCAGTTTCTAGAGACTGTTCACATACCTTGGCTGGTAGCCCCTTTCTCCATCTTCAAAGGCAACAGCATAACATCTCTCATCCTGGTTTTGTCTCCTCCTCCTCACACCTGTTTCTCTGACCTATTCACCTGCCTCCTCCTACTGTTCTTAAGGATTCATGTCATTATGCTGGACACACTTAGATAATCCGGAATGAGGTCTCTATCTTAAAGTCAGCTGATTAGCAACCTTAATTTTATCTATAACCTCAATTTCCCTTTGCCATGTAGCCTATTTATAGGTTCTAGGAATCAAACCGGAGGGCATCTTTGGGGGACCATTACCTACTACATGTATGTTGTAATTTATACTGTTACTCATCTTTGTATTCCTAGCACAGTTGTGCCTGAAATGTTGTATACATGAATCAAGAAATGTATAGAGAATGCTTATTTATTAAATGTTCCTTTTCTTTCCCCTCCACCCTCCCTTTTTAGTGACGGGTCAGTCTTACGAGAATATGGTAACTGAGATCATGTCAATGGGCTATGAACGAGAGCAGGTAATTGCAGCCCTGAGAGCCAGTTTCAACAACCCTGACAGAGCAGTGGAGTATCTTTTAATGGTGAGAAACATGTTTTACTTTACTTCATTCTAGTTGTTTAAGATCAAAATCTCAAAGAAACAGATTTTAAAGGACCACTTCACCTGTATGATATATGCTAGATGATACACAGTGCTTTTTTTTCTAGTATGTTTGTATTTTGTGTTAATAAAATGTAACCTTGTTTAATATAGTGGTCCAGCATTGTAGTAGCTTTTTAGGTACCACTGTGCATTAATTATTAAGAACAAAAATTTTAAGCTTGAGAATTCGGGCCAAATTCTTTTGCTTATACTATGTATATATCTGTAATAAGTTGCCAGCTTTTTAAAATCTGGGAAATTTCACATATAAGTACAGATTTCTGGTTTATCTGGACAACTTTGGATCCCAGATTTTTGCAAGGGATTAAGGAAAATATTTTAGATCATAGAATCTAATTCATTATCCTCTGATTCACTCTGTTACCAATGTAACATCACGCATTTAACGAATGATGTTACTTACCTGGTTCCGTTAGCATTTGAATTTGTTTTTATAGTCAGTAGGAGTTGAGGGACTTTTTTGAATAAGGTTTTCTTTTTTTTACCGGTAATGGGAGTTTTTGAGAAATAGATTGTTGTGGACATTGACTGAAACACTTGGTATTAAGATGAAAGTCTGCTAGTTTTACAGATGTGACACAAGCTAAAGTAATTGAATTAACTTTTAAAAAATCTTCTATTCTATAATTGTCTGCTGTTTTGGAGTATTATCAAAGTCTGAATTGCCCTAAATACCATCTTAGAGTTGCTCTTTTTGTATCTTAGAGTTAACTCTTTTGGCAATTAATCCACAGTTTAACCCATTCCTTTATGTCTAGGTTGTCCTTTGTGTCTAAGTTGTACTTCTGTTAAAAATTCCTTTCAGGTAGCTGGCTAGTTTCAGAAGAGTCAGTTATAAGCCTCATAACTGTAGTCTGCCTCCACCATTTATTTACCCATGCATTTGGATGTGAAGTTCACAAAACCTTTTCTTAGCATATTATTTTAACTTTTTAAATTCACTTTTTCATTGTCTTCTTGAGTAGTGTCTTTAAATGCTGGCAGTTTATCCAGTTTGTTTGGAATTCTGTAATTAATTGTTGTGAATTTGTTTGGTGAGGGGTACATACCCTAAACAGATTGTATAAAAGTGTTAGCTTTTATGGAGTGGCTTTCATTTACACCTGATTTAGAATTCTGCATAAGTTCAACAGTATCAGTTATTGTGATCTAATGGATGTGGAGTTTTGAGGTATAAAAAAAAAGAATCATTGTTACCAAAGTTGCCAAATGCTAAAACTGCTGTATAGCATCAAATGCAAATAAATAGATGAGTCATGAGTTCATCAAACATTTTATAACTAAAATGTTTTTTATATGTTTGCTGTTTGTTTCATAGACTGGAGGGGAAAAGTTGCCTTTAACTGTTACTAGTTAACAGATAAGGTGAATGGGTGGAAAGAAGAAATGTTGAGCACTTATCTAATAAGAGGCTATGTAACGTGTGAGAATAGAGGTTGATCTGTAGCAATGAAGATTAACTTTTTAGTTTAATAAAACAGAATTTGATGGACCCTCTGGATCCTAAATTTGTATGTAGTTTGTTAGCACTTAAATAACTGACCATCTAAGTTAAGGGTTTGAAATGATGAACTCATTCAAAAACATTGGTTTTAATGCCTGGAGTGACATCTAATGCATGCAGCCATTTTCCTGCTGTGTTGCCCTTCATCCTTTATATGTTGTTGCTTTTGGCTTCTAGCTTATTAGGAAATGGAAGCATTTATCATCTTATTGAATTGTAATACTTGGTTCTTTATTCTCTTCAAAATCTGTAAGAACTTGATAAAGACTTTTTTAAATTTTTAAATGACAAGTCTTATCAATCATGTGCATCAAAATAGATGTCCCAAAATATTTTAGTGCATGCAGTTTTAAGCTCTTAATAACTTTAAAAGATAAGTACTATAAACTTACAAAAGGCATCACCTAAAAACTAAATGGTTTCAGTTTATTTTAGATCAATTTTGTGCATTTTGAAAAATTAAATTTTTGGAAATACTTGAGTAGCTCATATTTATGAGATACTTTGACACTTTCTCAAAGAAACGCTTTATTCAAAAGTATGTCAAATTTATGAGATACTTTCTGAGTGACACTCAGTACCATGGATCAGTAGAGGAGATCCTCCTACCTGACTGCTGTGTACCTGGTCTGTATCCATTAGATATTTTTTCCCCAGGAGTCATTTCAGAACTGTCAAATGTGCATCAAAAACTCTTTTTTTGGATTATCTTAAGCCCGGATTGCAAATTCAATCCTTTTTGTTACTGAGTAACAGCTGATGAAGATTTCTAAGAAGTTAAAAAGTCAACTGAAGTAATAGCTGGCACAAAAACCTTTGGTTATGTTCAGTTTTAAGAAGGTACATGTATCAGTATTTTTCAAATTTGACGCCAATTACATGTGCCTGGTAGGCATCTTATTGGACAACACAGGGAAAATTTCCATCATCATGGAAAGTTCTGCTGGACAGTGCTGCTTTGCATTATTACAGCAATGTGGGTTTTTCTATAATGCACCCAGGTCATTTCTAATCTAATTTTAATCCATGCAGCTTAATAATCCTTTACTTTTAATTGAAGCAGACGTCTGATGCTTTTGAAAATCAGACAAGATGTTAAATAGACTATAAATCTTTTACTCTGTATAGTATTTAATTTTGCCTGAAGGGATATCTTAAAGCTTGGAAATTCTGTTATAGGGAATCCCTGGAGATAGAGAAAGTCAGGCTGTGGTTGACCCCCCTCAAGCAGCTAGTACTGGGGCTCCTCAGTCTTCAGCAGTGGCTGCAGCTGCAGCAACTACGACAGCAACGACAACAACAACAAGTTCTGGAGGTAAAGTGGAATCTTTTGGATGGAGAAGGAATGGCCCTGAATTTTTACTGTAAAATGATTTAATCTGAAATACTTCAGAAATGAGGTTCATTCCCAGAGCAGCTGAATGATTCATTAAGTTCTCTCTTCACTAATGTTTGAGAAAGCCCCAAAAGAAAGTCTCCCAAGTGGGTGTAAAAGGTATCCTTGCTGATATTAAACATCAGTTGCAGTTTTGTCAGAGGGCATATTCTGTTTTATTTGTTTTAAGGAAAAGATGCTTTCCAGTTTGTATTTAGTGTTACTTTCTGATGCTGTTCAGAATGGTTTGCTCACTTTGTCTCTTAACTCTCTCCATAAATTTTACAAAGTGTATGTAATTTCAAAGCCAGCAGGATTTCACTAGTTAATACAACCAAGGAAATGAGAGCTTGAGAGGTTTCAAACTTTGTATCTAGAGGAGAAAGCAGAGCTTGAATTGAAGTCTCCTTACTGGGGTACTGACCATACCCACACGTTGCTATAGGTCTGACTACAGAGCAGAACCTGGAACCTGTGGTCGGCTTAGGATTTATGCAGTGTTCTCCTTCGTTCGTTCTTCTGTATATTAATAAACTAATATAAACTGTTGATCTTGAAAAGGCCATTCTTGTATGCATTTCCTAGCTGTGATTATGATAGTCACCTCTGGTTGACAGAGGTCACTCAGTGCTTTGTGTACAGTCTCCAGAGGACAGGCCTTTTGTTTGTTATGATTCAGCATGGGAGTGGAAAGAGATGGCCACAGCTCTGCTTTGGATTTGGGGTTCTGTTCCTTTCAGCACTTATTAGGTAACATAGTCTCTAAGTCTCATTGCCTTCACCTATAAAGCTAGTATTATATATGGAAGAATAAAAAACCCATGTGCTATGGTCATTTCAGTTTGAATGATTGTCTTCCTGAATAGGAAATTACAACATACATCTAAAAATTCTCTTTTCTTCATTAGTAATCTCAAAAACATAATTCCTTTATGTACGATTTTTAGTTTCCTGTAGCATACCAGAGAAGTACCAGCACCCTGAAAAAGCCACAAGTTCTGTATTTTATATTTTATTTGGCATTACTAACATTTATTATTGTGAATGGATTTTAGACTGAAGAGTTTAGGTATATTAGTACTAGATTGCCATACAGCTTATAAAGTAGTGAGTTTTTGTTTTTGTTAGTTGTGGTGTATATTTTTCTTAGGAACTTTTAAGCAACAGGAACAACTTTTAGTACTTTTTATTTTGATAGAACACGCGTAGCGGACAAGTTTCTAGGATTATTTTATAACATTGAGTGCCAAGGGCAATTATAGGCAAGTTTGGTTCATGTTACAGTCAGCGTTCTGCACTCCCTGCATTTGCTAATAGGAGTAATTTTTGCCATATAAAACTTGCAAGTTGATATGGTCGGAAGATTTCATCATTATTTACTTCATTTATTACATCTGAGAAATCATTTTTTACTTGATAGTGTTTGCTGTGTAAATGTATTGTTTAACCACTCTTTGTATATGTATTTACTGCTTTTGTTTAAAAACGTTTATGTGTATTTTAGGACATCCCCTTGAATTTTTACGGAATCAACCTCAGTTTCAACAGATGAGACAAATTATTCAACAGAATCCTTCCCTGCTTCCAGCATTACTACAGCAGATAGGTCGAGAGAATCCTCAGTTACTTCAGGTGACTAATCAGTGTCAGTTTCACAAGTAGGTTAGAGTGTATCACATTTTGAAAAAGTCCATGAACGGTCCTTCCCCGCCTCAAATACAACTCTGTATTTGAGAATGGTGAATGTATTCTTCCAAGCTACACTTAGTAAAATATTGTAATCTGGATAGGTGTACTCAAATAACAGTTGGGATATAGAGGTTGGGTTAAATTAAGTTGACCAAATAATAATAAGTTTGGGAAACATTTTATATTTCCTTCTTGGAGATTCCCAGTAGACATTAATATGTTAAAGAATTTGGGAAGCTGTTTAACAAAGAAACTGCCCAACTTTAAATCACTTTTCACAAGCTTATTTCTTAGTTCCTTTTTCTTAGGAACTTCTAAGCAATAGGAACAACTTAGTCTTAGAAAAAATAGGTGTGGGGCTTCTTTAATGCTCAGATCACCAAGTATTTTGAATTTTATACAGCATTTTAGTGCCCACTAGTGTGGAAGGTAAAAATATATGCAAGTATAAAGAATAAGTTCTGTTCTTACAGTGCCACAGTAGTTTGCTTGTTTGTTTTTTAGCACAGGAGGCTCAGAGCCTTAAGAATTTGAATTTCTTCACTGTTTACTTTGCCCAAAAGTACTGCATTTCTTTACTAATGTACAAGAAATCACATCCTTCCAAAGACTGAATAATCCAGAATCCCTAAAATACTACGTTTGCAAAAGTGTAGCCTTTTCTCTTAGTAATATTTAGAATTCCTCTGTTCCTGTAGATGCTTAATATCAATGTATTATTTTTCTCTGTCATTCACGTCACCACAGCAAATTAGCCAACACCAGGAGCATTTTATTCAGATGTTAAATGAACCAGTTCAAGAAGCTGGTGGTCAAGGAGGAGGAGGTGGAGGTGGCAGTGGAGGAATTGCAGAAGCTGGAAGTGGTCATATGAACTACATTCAAGTAACGCCTCAGGAAAAAGAAGCTATAGAAAGGGTGAGTTTAAAACTTTACAAAAGTTAGTTCTTGGCTGGGCTCACGCCTGTAATCCCAGCACTTCGGGAGGCCAAGGTGGACGGATCACCTGAGGTCAGGAGTTCAAGACCAGCCTGGCCAACATGGTGAAACCCCATCTCTACTGAAAATACAAAAATTAGCTGGGAGTGGTGGCACGCACCTGTAATCTCAGCTACTTGGGAGACTGAGGCAGGAGAATTGCTTGAACCTGGGAGGCAGAGGTTGCAGTGAGCCAAGATTGCGCCACTGCACTCCAGCCTGGGCAACAGAGTGAGACTCTGTCTCAAAAAAAAGAAAAAAAATTCCTTAGTCACACTAGCCCCATTTCAAGTGCTCAGAAGTCACATGGGGTTAGTGGCTACTATTGGATAGAACCATTGTAGAACATTTTCATTTACTGGAGATAGTTCTGATGGACAGAGCCAAATAGAGCATTGCCCTATGGATTGCGGTAAAGATAGTCTCCTCTTAACCCTGTTCCGCCATCTTGTCTTCTGTGAAGCCAGAGGACAAGCAGTAAAGGTATAATTTTATTGCTGTGTTAAAATTCAAGAAGAAAAAGTCTTAGAAGTAAATACCCAATTCTAGATTTTTTTCGGGTTTTTATTTGTATTTATTTTTTATTTATATTAAACATCAGAACTCTGCTATCCTGATTCCAGTAACCTAGTTTTTATATCGTGATTAGTCATTCTTTTTCTCCCTCATTTTTACTATAAACAGGGAATCGTAGTAAGCATAATACTTGCCCTGTCTTATCTTACGAAGTGTTTTGACGTGGAAATCAGATAAAGTGCATATTAGTATGGCTTTCTAAGTAAGTTTTGAAATTGGGAAGTGTTAATTGTTCCCATTTTATTATTGTTTCCCAAGATTGTTTTGGCTGTTCTGGATCTTTTACATTCTTGCACAAATTTTAGCATCAGCTTGTCTGATTCCTGCAAAAAAAAAAAATTCTGGTTGGGATCTTGATAGGGATTGTTTTATTCTATAGATGAAATTTGTGGAGTATTGCCATATTAATAATAAGATTTTTCTATAATTTCTTTCAGTAGTGTTCTGTAGTTTTCAGTGTAGAAGTTGTGCGCTACTTTTTAAAAAATTATTCCTAGGTATTTTTATTCTTCTTGATGCTATTATAAATGGATTTTTCTCTTAATTTCATTTTCAGATTGTTCATTGTTAACTATATAAAAATACAATTTAATTGTGTTTATTGATCTTTTATCTTAAAACCTTCTTGAACTCTTATTTATTCATTAAGTAGTTTGTGCATGTGTTCATTAGGATTTTCCATATACAAGGTCATGTCATCTGCAGATAGAGACAGTTTTACTTCTTTTCCAATATGGATACCTTTTATTTCTTTGTCTTGTCTAATTGCCCTATCTGGAGCCTCCAGTATATTATTAGACTAGCAAGAACCAACAACATCCTTGTCTGGTTCTTGATCTTAGGGGAAAGCATTCAGTCTTTCATCACTAAGTATGATGTTATCTGTGGGTTTTTTGTGGATGCCCTTTATGAGATTGAAGAAATTCCCTTCTGTTCCTAGTTTGTTCATCAGAAAAAGGTGTTGGATTTTGTCAAATGTTTTTTTCTTTTTTTATTAAGATAATCATGTGATTTTTGTCCTTTAGTATGCTTTTATTACATTGATTGGTTTTTGTATGTTGAACCAACCTTGCATTTCTGGGATAAATTTTACTGGTCACAACGTATGATCCTTTTTATACGTTGCTGGATTTAGCCTGCTTGTATTTTGTTGAGGATTTTTGCATCTGTTCATAAGTCATATTGGTCTGTAGTTTTTTTTGTGATGTCTTTGAATTTGGTGTCTGGGTAATACTGGCCTCTTAGAGTAAGTTGGGATTTACTCTCTCCTCTTCTGTTTTCTGGAAGTATTTATTAAGAATTGGTGTTAATTCTTTGAACAGTTGATAGAATTCATCAGTAGTCTGGGCCCAGGCTTTTCTTTTTGGGAAGTTTTGTGATTACTGATTCAGTCTCTTGTTACTTGTCTATTCTACTTTTCTGTTTCTTTTAGAGTCAGTTTTGGTGGTTTTTAACTTGGAATTTGTATATTTTATCTGAGTTGTCTAATTTGTTGGCATGCAGTTGTACATATTTCCTTATAATCATTTTATTTCTTCTTTTGTTAAAGTAGTAATATTCCTGCATTTATTCCTGATTTTAGTAATTTGAGTCCTAAGATTTTTGTTTTTTCCCTTCAGTTTAGCTAAAGGTTTTAATTTTGTTGATTTTTTTTTTTTAATGACAAAAATAACTTTGGGTTTTGTTGATTCTCCCTATTGTTTTTCTAGTCTTTTTTTTTTTTTTTTTTTAAGTCTCTCTAATGTTTATTTCCTTCTTGCTTGCTTTTAGTTTGTTCTTCCATTTTTAGATTAGGTTTAGTTTAGATCTTCTTTGTTTAGTTTTAGTTTCAAATTAGATTATTATCTATCTTTGTTAGGATAGATGTTTATAGCTATAATATTCCTTCTGTGTTTATGCTATAGCAGCATTCCATAGGTTTTAGTATGTTGTGTTTTGCTTTCTTTAATCTCAAAATGTTTTTCAATTTCCCTTTTGGTTTCTAATTTAATTCATTTGTTATTTAGGATTGTGTTAATTCCTACAAGTTTATGAATTTCCCACATCTTCTCCTTTTCTAAATTCATTCCATTATAATCAGAGAATATACTTTCAATACTTTTCAACTTTTTGAGGTTCGTTTTGTGGCCTAACATGGTATTTCTGAAGAATGTTCTATGTATACTGAAGAAGAATATAATGTAGTTCTTATTGTGGTCTATAAATACCTGATAGATCTAGTTTGTAGTCAAGTCTTCTTCCTTAGCTGTTTTATCTATTATTGAAGGTGGGGCTATAGATTTCTCTAACTATTATTGTTAATTACCATTTCTACCTTTAATTCTCAGTTTTTATTTTATGTATTTTGTGGCTCTGTTATATATGTTTATAATTGTTGTGTCTTCCTGATCCTTTTTTATCATAAAATGCCTTTTGTTTATAGTAACAATGTTTATCTTAAATCTGTTTCATCTGATATAGTCATTCTAGCTCTTTTTTGGTTACCATTTGCATGGTATATACCTTTTTCGATCATTGTGTCTTTGAATCTTTAAATTGTGTGTTTTGTAGAAGCAGGCAGTTGGATTATACCCTTTACTTCACCTATCCTAGCTTTAATCTGGATAAAAACCAGATAACAAACGGATTTTTTAATTTCTTCTCCTTTCATAGATCAGTAGTTATTCGTGATGAATTCGGATTTTTGCCCAAATTTTAAGGGTCATTTCCGAATATAATCTAACAGCAGTCCTCAACCTTTTGGCACCAGGGACCAGTTTTGTAGAAGACCTTTTTTTCTACCAACAGAGGTGGAGTGGGCGCGGTGGTTTTGGGATGAAACTGTTCCACCTCCGATTATCAGGTATTAGTTAGGTTAGGAAGTGGGGCGGGGTGGTGGTTTTGGGCTGAAACTGTTCACCTCACATCATCAGGCATTTGTTAGGCTATCATACGGAGCACAGAACCCAGATCCCTCACATGCACAGTTCACAGTAAGGTTCATGCTCCTATGAGAATCTATTGCTGCCGCTGATACGAAAGGAGACGGAGCTCAGGTGGTGATTCGAGTGATGGGGAGCAGCTGTAAATACAGATGAAACTTCACTTGCTCACCCACTGCTCACCACCTCCTGGGCGGCCCAGTTCCTAACAGGCCAATGGGTGGTGCCAGTTTGCGGTCTAGGGGTTTGGGACACATGATCTAACTCAAGGTGATTGAGACAATTGAGGAGGGTGACATTTGGCTGAGTTTTTAAAGGCTTTTAAAAGCAGTGAGTATTGTCACAAGTGGTTTTTAATAGACTAGGAAAATGAAATTAAGTAGCTAGTATTACCATTTAAAATGCTGTGACTGTTAAGCAGATAAAAATAGAACACTGTCTTTACTTCAAAATGTACCGTGTGTTATTACTACTAATTGGTCACCTGGTTTTCTAGTATGGAGTGTTGAATAAAGCAAGGAGATTGAGAGTGATGTTTGATCCAAATGAAAGACATTAGTTGGCATTAATAAATAAAACATTTGCTTTTAATTTACAAATAATTAGATGAGGTGGTTAAACTATACTCCAGGTACTCTCATCCTTATCTTCACTCTTAATATACTAAAAACCATTTGATTTACACATTTCTGTAGTCATTTATTTTTAAACCATAGCAATTAGCAACTAATGTTTAATTAGGCCAAAGAGTATTTGCATAGTATCTCTTAAGCTTTAACTAGAAAACAAAGACTTTTCTTAGGCGATTAGTAAAGGAAAGGGTCTAGATTCCATCAAATCCCTTGGGTTGGGCAGTAAATCCATATTCAGATAGAGATGAATTCATGTAAAATTCTCAAGAGCTTTTTTGGGTTGCAGTATGTTTTTGAGTAATGATCTGTCTTTAGTGCTATGCTGGAATCTGTAATATGTAAGTAAATTAAATGTGCCATAATTGGTGTGTTGGATTTATATTTTTTTCCTTTTTCTTCCAGTTAAAGGCATTAGGATTTCCTGAAGGACTTGTGATACAAGCATATTTTGCTTGTGAGAAGAATGAGAATTTGGCTGCCAATTTTCTTCTACAGCAGAACTTTGATGAAGATTGAAAGGGACTTTTTTATATCTCACACTTCACACCAGTGCATTACACTAACTTGTTCACTGGATTGTCTGGGATGACTTGGGCTCATATCCACAATACTTGGTATAAGGTAGTAGATTGTTGGGGGTGGGGAGGGAGGGATCTAGGATATAGGGCAGGGATAAATACAGTGCATGTCTGCTTCAATTAGCAGATGCCGCAACTCCACACAGTGTGTAAAATATATACAACCAAAAAATCAGCTTTTGCAGGTCTTTATTTCTTCTGTAAAACAGTAGGTAACTTTTCTTAGGTTTCACTCTTTTTAGTGTACTAGATCCAGAAACTTAGTGTAATGCCCTGCTTTATATTTCTTTGACTTAACATTGGTTTCAGAAAGAATCTTAGCTACCTAGAATTTACAGTCTCTGTTTCATAGCAACACTGGATAATGGCTTTGTGAAATTAAAAGAATTTTTGTAGCGACTGTAAACAGAAATGCCAAATTATCAAAGGTTAATTGTTGCTGCTTCAAAAATAAGTATAAAATTAATGTGTAAGGAAGCCCATTCTTTCATGTTAAATACTTGGGGTGGGGGGGAGAAAGGGAACCTTTTCTTAAAATGAAAATAATTACTGCTATTTTAAAATTTCTTGATCATTGAATGTGAGACCCTTCTAACATGATTTGAGAAGCTGTACAAGTATAGGCAGAGTTATTTTCCTGTTTACATTTTTTTTGTTTGTTTTGGGGAAAAATTGGTAGGTGTCTAATTACTGTTTACTTCATTGTTATATTGCAGTAAAAGTTTTAAAACAACCATTGCATGTTTGCTTTTGATGTATCCCTTTGTGAAATTAGCACTTTTGGGGCCAATGGAGAAATGCAGCATTCACTCTCCCTGTCTTTTCCCCTTCCCTCAGCAGAAATGTGTTTATCAGCAAGTCGTGAGTCAAACTGCTGCCTTTTTAAAAACCCACAAAATGCTGATTCAGTTCAAAATTAATGCAAATGTTTCAAAACTGGGTTTCTGATATTTGTAAATGTGTTTCTTTATTAGATAAGAGTGTATTACCATTAAAGTCATTAGTATAATATCGCTTTCAAAAAGAGATGGTAGAGAAAACTATAATCCAGCATCTTTTATTGCATTGGAAAGACTGGCAAAATCTTTTGGAAGGGTTGGGAGATGTGGCTGGAAAGTACTTTGGAAAATATACAATCAAGATATCTCATGGCATATTAAAAGAAAAATCTTAATAGCAGTGTTGGCTTTTATTTGGATTTTTTCATCTCAGTTTTTCCTTTGGAATCTCCTTCATTGGCATTGTTATTTGATCATAAACGGGGCAGATGTGTACTTGTTCAGTTTTTCAAATCTGTTTTCCTGAGTATAAATAAGAGTATTTAAAGAAATAATTTGGGTTGTTTTTGTTTTTTATTTCCTTTTTTTTTGTTAACCATCTGATACTAAGATGATGAATTTGCACAGATTTCTCTCTGCATAATTTCTCAATATTTTTAGCACAGCATGGTGATGACTTTAAGGATTTACATCACGTACTCATAACCTATTTCTTATGAAAATAAATGAAACTGGCTGGGTATGGTGGCTAACACGTGTAATCCCAGCACTTTGGGAGGCCAAGGCGGGCAGATCACTTGAGGCCAGGAGTTCAAGACCAGCCTGACCATCATGGCAAAACCCCATCTATACTAAAAATACAAAAATTAGCCAGGCATGGTGGCGCACGCCTGTGGTCCCAGCTACTTGGGAGGCTGAGGCATGAGAATTGCTTGAACCCGGGAAATGAAGGTTGCAGTGAGCCGAGATCACACCACTGCCATAAACATGACAGGCTTTTGGACTTTGTATTACCTGTATGTTTTATAATGGATCATGCATAATTTCTCAGGAGAATAAAATGAGAATTCGTATATACGTTCATCATTCAAGTCAGAGCAATGAGTTGGGAAAAGAGGTGGCATTTCTGGTCGGATAATGGAATACTCTCATTTATTTTATGACATTCTCTGTCTACTCAGAGCATAGTGAAAACTGGAAACAAAAAAAAAACAGCAGCCTCTTCCTTGGAAAGTGACAGCAGAAGGTGGCATGGAGCTTTTGTCCTTGGACAACAAATCTGGATATACTAGGATTAATAATTATCGGAAGACAGCTCAGGCCAAGTTTTGATCGTTCCTTACAGTACCTTGTTTATCTGCTTCTTAAAGAATCAGCCAAGACACCATAAAAGAAATAGGCTTTTTGTGCCTTTTGCTGTTATTGTTTAATTTACAAACTGTTTTGGTAAATCTCTTAATGTAAGTAGCTGTTTGACTTTGGAATTTCGCATTTGAGGTATACTGTCATTTCTTGAAATCTTTTTCTTGTTTAGTTGCTCTGTGGGAAATGTGAGGAAGCCTAAGTTTGTATATGTAAATTTCTTATGCCATCCTCTAGTCAAATATTTTTTTTTCATTGTTTAAAAATACTGAAGTGTTCCAATATAATTTTTTCCTGTACTGGATGGCTAGGATTCTAGAGAATTGATTATAAAATATTTTCAATACATCCAACATTGCACTTCTCATTTTTTAAATGATTCTGTCACATAGAATCAGATTGAAAGTTGACAATGCTTCTGTCACTGATACTTCTTTTTACTTCAGTAATTGGTGAGTGTATCACATAGGAGGCCCAGGCACTAGATTGACTTTACTGGGTCTCCTGGTGCTTTTCTCAGTCAACACAGATGGGATATTTGCTGGGATGTTAAGGTTAGTGAGGTCTTCTAGGGAATGCATAAAATTTCCATTGTTCCATACTTCTTGTCTGAAGCAGCCAGCCAAAGGCTGCTACAAAATGTTCTACTGAAAGTAAGCAGTTGCAGGCAATGAGTGTTCCTGACCCAGTCAGTTCTGGTGGATTCTCCAGCCATAAAGTTCAGTTGGCCTCCCCTGTCCATTTTCCCCATTTTTCCTCCTAAGCCAAGGGCTGGCAAACTACAGTTTCATGAGCCAAATCTGTCTTATACCTGTTGTGTGGTCCATGAACTAAGAGTGCTCTTTACATTTTTAAATGGTTTCAATTGTATATGTTTTTTATCACCTCAGCGTTTCAGTTTACATCTCAGTGTCCTTAAAAGTTTTATTGAAACACAGGCATGCTCATTTGTTTACATATTGTGTATAGCTACTTCTGCGCTACAGAGGTTTGCTGTTGGATAGCTGCAGCAGACTCTGTGGCCTGCAAAGCCTAAATAATCACTGTCTGGCCCTTTACAGCAAAAGTTTGGTGTCCCTGTTCAAAACCGACTAGTCTACGTAGACCTAAGTTATGTGATGCTTTTTATTCCTCTCCTGACATTCCTGGACTCTTGACTTCAGGTCTCAGCTGTAGTTCGGTTTCCATGTGACCGTCACAGATCTTTACAGAGGAATGGTATAACCCCCATTGTCCACTCACAAAGGAGCGTTGTGAGCCTGATGTACTGGCCTGGTGGTATCTAAGTTACTCTTGGATGTTGCTACACTGTTTCTTATTTTTACAGTAGGATAATGAAGTCCATCACCACATTGTCAAAAGCACCTGGCATAGTGTGACAAGTCAACCAGAAAAAAGCCAGATGAAAGCATCTGGAAATTCTTATGGCCTGGATTGGAGTTGGGGCAACAGCAGGAAGCGTCTTAACTGCAGCTGGAAGAAGAGAGAGGTGGAACCCTGGAGGGAGAAGTTACAGTAATTGAACCTGTTGTGGTGGGTGGGTGGGTAGCTTCCAGAACTGTGTACTTTGTGGATGGGAGGATGGAAAGGGGAGTGATGAGGCTGAGTGAAGGCTTGGATTTGCTAGGAAAAAGATACTGCACTGTCAGTAACATTTGGGGAACTGCAAGAACGGTTGTAAGTTGGTTGTAAAGAGCCTTCACTGTGGTGAAGTTAGATTTAGAAAGCGGTGGTCCCTCATGTAGGGTTTTCACTGTGGAGAGGAGGCTGGGAGGACCAAAGAAACGGATGACAAGTTTGCTTCCTGTGTGGTATGGTGCTGCAGATACCAACATGGTCTCTGCCATTGAGCTTGATGTACTGTAACAGTGGCCATTTTAATAGTAATGTATCCTTTACAGATCTAACCTAACTTGTCTTTCACGAGTACAAATTAGAAAAGTCATCCCAGACTTCTGCCTCATGTCTTAGTCATACTTTTTTCCATTCTTGTTGCCTTTGATGTATGCACTCCTCATCTTCCTATTCCAGAGCTTCCTAACTCGGCTTGCAGTAGGTATAGATGTTTAGAGATGGTGATTTTCCTCAGCCCATGAGGTCATCTTCAAGGCAGCTGCGGAACCTGGGCTCTAACCCCAGGCAACCTCATCTGTTTTCCCAGTGTGTTATACAAGTATCGTGTTTGCCATGTTGAAAATATCAGAAAGCTCTGTCCTACACGTCTAACTAACTTTCTAAATGAGCTTTGCATAAGTCAGGGTTCTCCAAAAAAAAAAAAAAAAACAGGAAAGGAGATTTATTATGGAAATAGACTCATCTGATTATGGAGACCTAGCAGTCCTACAGTATGCTGTCTGCAAGCTGGAGAACCAGGGAAGGAACTGGTGTAGTTCAGTCCAAGATCAAAGGCCTGAGAAGGCCGAGGGAGGTGTTGGGTGCACTGGTGTAAGGCCCATGGTACCCAGAACAGGAGAAAGGGGATGTTCAACTCAAGCAAATCGACCCTTCCTCTGCGTTTTTTTTTTTTGGGGGGCCTTCAACAGAATGGATGACACCCACCTGCACTGGTGAAGGTGGGCATCATCCAGTAGATGTACTCTGGTCTGTTGATTGAAATGCTAAACTCCTCTGGAAACACCCTCACCTACACACCAGAAATACCGTTTTACCAGCTATCTGGGCATCCCTTCACCAAGTCAGGTGGACACAAAACCGTCACAGGCTTCTCAGCTGTAAATGGCCCTAGTGTGCTGACCAGGACTGGAACTGCCAGTTGAGTTGCCACCTGAGGCTCCTGGGATGTTTGATACGGATAACTGGATTTGGATGTTGACAGCTTCCCCCTCTGTAAGTTTCAAAACTTTCAGAATTGTTTCAACACTGCTTTTGTTTGGCTGCACAATCATACAAGCCATATCGGTTTTGTTTGCACACAATAGCAGATTTGAGCACAATATATTGCTTCAAAATTCATTGAAAATTTGTCAAGAATATTTGGTGGTGGGACTATGTCTTAGAACAGCTTGGGGGTTTGGTTTTTTGTTTACTGAATGATTTTATGGACCCTGGAGTGATTTTTGCAGCTTAACATTTTAGTTCATTGTAGGCGTCTTTTGTTATTTTTTGCATAGGGAGCTGTCAGTTAGGCCTGCTTCTGCTTAACAGCATTTTGACTATAATTTTTATATTGTCTTCGGTTCTAAGGAAATTGCAAAGTTAAACTGTTTTTTAACCAATTCGTTACTTACTACTTAATTGTAAAATATTTTCAGTCATATCTTTAACTGTTGTAATTCAAGATGGTTTTATAATTTTTATACCATATTTGCATTTTTGCAAAGAGCATTCCATTGGCAGTTTTTTCATACACAATTTCACACTTGCAGAAAAGTTGCAGGAACAAACAGCACAAGAGCTCCCACATACCCCACCACCACCTTAGAGAACCTTATAAAATTTTATACTTGCACCAACATTGTCCTCCAAGCAAAAGGGCCCGATCCAGGTTAACACACTGCGTTTGACTGCATTTAATGACTCTCCAGTTCACTTTCTCAGTCCCTCTCCCTCAATCTTTATGACCTTAACCTTTTTTGAAGACTGTAAGACAGTTGTCTTATAAAATGTCCCTCAATGTATGTTTGGTGTTTCCTCATTACTACCCTTGGTATGCGTGTTTGGAGGAAACAGAAGTGCTGTTGTGCCCCTCTCGCTGCACCCCATAAGGTGACACAGGGTGTCAATTTGTCCCATCATTGGTGGTGGTCACTTGGACCCTGAGGCAGATGACGTCTGCCCGTCTTCCCTGGAAAGTTACTCTTTGTCCCTTTGTATTGGATAAATATTTTATAGGGAGATGTTTTGAGCCTTTGTAAATATCCTATTTCTCATCAAAATTTGGCGCATTGGTTTTAGTATTATTGTTTCTTGCCTGAATTATTACTGTAATGGTTTCCAAGTGGTGATTTTCAAATTCCTTCTACATTTATTAGTTAACATTGTCCTGTATTCTTACTCTTTTTCCCCTCATTTATTTGTACCTGTATGGACTTTGATTCCTATTTTATTCGATGGTGTATAATCCCTTACTGTCGTTACTTTGATGTTGGAATTGTCCTGGGTTCTGTGATTGTGTGTTTTTTTTTTTTTTTTTTTTAATTTTTTTTTAGCAGAGACAGGGTTTCACCATATTGGCCAGGCTGGTCTTGAACTCCTGAGCTCAAATGATCCACCTGCCTCAGCCTCACAAAGTGCTGGGATTACAGGCATGAGCCACCGCGCCTGGCTGATTGTGTGTTTTCTTAAAGCTGGCTTCTGTGTTTCGACTTGCCATTACCCTCTGAGTACTTCCCTACTTTCTGGCACAGTAATGTGTTCCAGGCTCTTGTACTTCGTGTGCCCTAGTGCTGGAATCAGCCATTTATGAAAGAGCTCTAGCTCCCCTTAATATAGATTGTATTTAGAAAACAAACCCTTGTTCTAGGCACGCTCACTGCTATTAAAGAGTCTCACTGCTCCCAAGCTGTCTAAGTGGACACACAGTAAATACATACTTATATTTACATTTGATACATAGATACTGAAAGGGAGTTCACTCTGGTACCATTAATTCTGATCCAATGCCATAAGGTTCAGGCTGGGCATGGTGGCTGATGCCTGTAATCCCAACGCTTTGGGAAACCAAGGTGGGCAGATCGCTGGAGTCCAGGAGTTCAAGGCCAGCCTGGGCAACATGGTGAAACCCTGTCTCCACGAAAAATACAAAAATTAGCCAGACATGGTGGCGCGTGCCTGTGGTCCCAACTACTTGGGGGGCTGAGGTGGTAGAATCGCTTGAGCCTAGGAGGTTGAGGCTCCAGTGAGCTGAGATCATGGCACTGCACTCCAGCCTGGGTGACAGAGGGAGACCCTGTTTCAAATAATATAATAATAATGCCCTAAAGTTCATTCTATCTTCTCCCTTCCCATATTTCTAATTCCTTCCAGGGCAGTGAGAAACTTGGCTCCCATTATCCTCAAAATAATTTCACCTTCCCTGAAGGTAACCAGCGCCCTGCAGCACTCTGCTCCCTTTCTTGTGCTTAGCTGCCACTAGGTCACTTTCCTGCACAGCCAGGACATTTGTATTTGAAGTGGACTTGGAAATGGAAGTGAAATGTGTTCAGATTTCCTAGTGTGGCGCTCCTATGATGGAGCTTCTAGGAAAGCACAGCTGCATGGGAAAGGAAGGGCCTTATTTGTTCTGCTCCAGTTGCTGTTCCACCAGAAGGTTACCTCCTACTTGGAGTTTAGGACCAGTGTGTTTTAGGTGCTTCTTGTGAGAGACAGAGTTGGGGGTTAGGGGAAAA